AGGCAGGTAGATATCGTTGCAAAAGGGTGGATGACGGTAAGGAAGAGAGTATTTGTGATGTTGATATCTGAAATTCATCCCAAGAAGGCAATCCTGAAGGCGCCGAACCTAGAAGTGCCTCCAGTAATGGCTTGGAGGATCCAGCGCCGAAGATGCGGCGAGAGGTTGATACAGTATGTCCGATAAGTTCCAACACCTGTCGTAACGACTGTCTCACGTCGCGTACAGCCCTGTTCCTCTCGGCCTTCCTCGCCTTTTCTGCTGCGTCAGAGTCCTTGATGGCCGGCAACTTGAACAAATCCAGCGAGGGTGTTGCAGACGGGGATCTGAGTAAGGTCGCTGTAACTTCTCTATTCTTTCGACGGCTTTTAGAGATAGCTTGGGTGTTCTTGGGCTTCAGCGCCGAAGAGGAGAATAGAGGAGTTGCTTGAATGCGGGCATAGAGATTCTGTAAAGTCTTTGATCTCTGATTCAGGAACAAGGAGAGTGTATCCGAAAGTGGGAGAGAATCGAGAAGATGTATAGAAAGGAGAGTTTCGGCAATCATTGTCGGCGAGGAAGGGGATGGTTTTGTCGACTCTCCGATGATCGAGAGAACATTCGAAGGTTGCTCTCGTAGGGACTGCGTTGCACGATATGTGATCTGAGGCCGGAACGAGTTTATTACATCCCATTGACGCTGAATAATGGGAAACTGAATCTGAATGATACAGTCCATATGAATTCTTTTCACAAGCGATGCTAAGCCCACTTGCCATCACGTCAATTCCCTCCTTGACCCACTCGAGTTCGCCTTCCTCATCTTCCTCCTCCGTTGACAGCGTGCGATATACAATGCGTGCTAGTAGAAGTAGCCAAGCGGCGTGCAAGTATCGCTTTCTTTCCAACAAACGCCATATTTGCTCGGGCGTATCGAGCAAAAGCTTGAGGTGAGCCGCAAGGACCTGCAAACTGGCTAATTGGGAGTCTGTAATACTTGAATCAGTTGCTTTGCGTGGAACGTTAAATTGGGAAACAGCATTAACCTTGGGACGATCCTGATGCCCTTGCTACACTTGTTACACCGTATACGCTCTGAGACCGCGTTCTGTTAATATTTTGTATACGACGAGTCTCGGTTGTTGTATCGCACGCTGATTTGACGTCTTCTAGTAAGGACTTGACTCGTTTCGATGCATCTGAGATGGATGCAATGGCGCTCGATGCCTCCAACAGGTCGCGATACCTCTCACTACACTTTCGGAGAACCTAGTGAGCACGTCACTCTAGAAGCTCGCCATATTGTTACGCACCCGACCATGAGTCGCAAATCTTGTTGCTGAGCATCAGCATCAGCCCTAGCAAACGCAATGGATTCAGATATATCCACCTCTCTGGGAGACTGGGCTCACTGGAGTTTCAGCTTGAGAGATCTCACTTCTGAGACAGTGAAGCGAGAAAACAGTTCATCGACATCCACTCTACTTAGATCTTCGCCAGCATCTTTGGATCGTGAAGGTGAGTATTGTACGATGTGTCGCAGAGGGTGTGGAGATCGAACAGGTGACCTCAGGGGAGAATGTCGCTGGGAGAACTGGTTAACATGCTGCGGTAAGGATGATGTCGTGACATTGGGCTTGGTTTTCGATACTGTTGACATTCCTTTTGCTATTACAGCTTTAATACATCTAGTCAAAATCGCGAGACTGCCGGTTTCGGCGTCGAATAACAAAAGCCAAACAGTTTGTATGTTGCTGCTTGTCTACCAGACCACCAATTTGACCACTCAATCCACCATTGGCTATCCGCTCTAGAAACGTGTGCAATCTGTGCTGTCTCATAGAACATAACAATTAAACAATTCCGACAGTTCAATATCTTTGTCGGCGTATAAGGTTCAAGACAGGTGCACACCATATCAATTTTGCCAAATCGAAGCATCCTGGATGTAACGGCATACGCAAAGTCCCGGCAAGTGAGTCTCGAATTCAGATCAGGTAGTCGGGATGTGGAACAAGGGTCAAATCATCGATAGGCTCACGAAAGTTGGCGTCATAGTGAGCAAATGCATTGGTATCGCATTGAGCGATCCTGACCAGTGTGGAGAAACGTGTCTCGGACATGCAGACATCGTACTGGGGCCCGGATTCTGTCTTAGTACCAAGTCATTCGAAATAAACTTGTCATCTCTATTTTGTGCACACAGACTCTCTGTTTCGCAACTTATTCGCACTCTTGTACCCATTGGGACTTTTGTTGAATATATAACGAGTTGGCTTAGCGGCATCTGCTGCTGATTGAGATCTCTGTCGTATGATATGATCGATGTTTTCCCCTCAAAGTAAAGTCAACGATCAGTGACATCATGCCCACCCCTGAAATTTGCTCGGCATGCTACACACATGCCTTATTCCCGAAGGTAGTGTGTACCGCACCGACACTTCACATGTAGTATAATTGGTAAATTTTATCGCAGATCGGCCTCGCAAGTAGCCGGCTGACGATCGCTAGGTCGAACATTCGCTCACTTCGGTTCCTAGCGGCCGATATAGTAGTGAGGGGTGAATCGAAAGAACCCATGCGGGTGTTAGACGGAAAGCAGGTTACAACAGGATCCGCCGAGTGCCAAACGGCGTGTCAATTAACAAGTCAGTTCTTCAGTGTAAATTTTTTTTTGTGAAAAAGAGAGTGATAGTATGATTTACATGGAGGTAGAGAAGAATACAGACAAATGCTAAGGAACGAAAGCATGAGAAAGGATTCGTGAAGCGTCGGACAATGCACCCCGATATCTGGGAACAAGCTCTTTTTGGCGAGGGTATTCAGGGCTTTCTGTTCGGATGTGGTGCAATCTCCATGCAGAGAAGTTGATATGGTTTGAAAGAAATGTTCAACAGTTCCGCCAAGCGGAGCGCCCGAACGACGAAATTAGAGAGAGTGGGGAATGTCCAAGGCGACACAAAGACATTAGCGTACTCGAGGTGCTCTGTAATCGGGAGGTATGGATCTAGAGAGTGAATGAGATCAGTTGAATGGAAACGTGCAAATGAGGATGTCGCATACGCAATACTGATGAGCAAACTTGAACGCAGGTAAAATTTGGAAAAGGACAGTCCACATCCTTTACATCTAAGGTTTTCAAGGTAAGTAACCTCTTTAACCTTTAATATCAGGTTCACGATATACTGACTTTAAATGCTCCGGATCATCTAGAAATTGGGTATAACTGCAGCCTTGGTCCAGCGCATAGGCGTCCTTCCACAGATCGACACAGCGTAGTTCTAATTCGCCACCTGCATGTCTACCGTTCGGACTAAGTATCAAATCAATTCATGTTAGTAAACCGCAAGCACCACACGAAAAGCCGAATAAGAGCAGCAGACTCACGGAATATGCTTGATTATCGCATACAATGGCCGTCTGTCCCTTGCCATCCCTCGCTGGGTGACATACAGGCATACATCGCTCTGGCCCTGAGAACTCATTGAGGCCTGTACGTTGAAGTTGCTTTTAAATAGCTTTGAGAGAGGGACAAAGAACGGCGTACGATGAACCACCGCCTAGGAGAAGTTTGTTCCAACGTGTTATATACGGAACACCAACTGTATGTGGCAATGCAAAAGAGGGGGATGCCAATTGGGTTAGTAAGTGTATGAAGGAAATGAGAAACGGTCAAGGCCTTTATAAAGTGCCGAGCTTGCTTCTTCCAAACCTCCCCGCGTGACTCTATATGATGTTTGGTCAGGGCACGGACCCTATTACTTGGGACTCACGGCAAGCAAAATGGTGATGTCCAAGCCTCCGGCTTGATGGGAACTATTCCACAGGAGCCGGCAAATGCCTGGGTGACCATCCCGCAATTAGAGGGGCGCCATGTTACCCAAACCGCGTCAGCTACTAGTCATCAACAAATTTGGGTTTTGTAAATTACGGGTTAGGCAAAATGTGGGTTCTCAATTTGCTCGGAGCTTCCGGTTTCTCAAGTGCGCCAATCTGTCCATCTCGTAAGCCCTTGTTAGATCTTGCGTGCATTCGGTACAACGTATAGGCACGCCGATGTGGTGACTGGGTTATGATTATTCATGCAGTTGGCTGGTAATACTGAGGACAAGCCATATCGGCATTGCCCGATTTCCGCCATCTTGTTGAGGGGTTGTCCGACTATCCCCGCTGTCAGTGTTTGTTACATTGACTCTAATGGACTTCCAAAATGTTGTCATCGAATTAGAATTCAGGCAACTCCGAATCCAATTAACGGTGACTCGGGCTTCAGCATGACAAAGGTAACCAAAAGATGCTAGGACAAGCAGCCAAAGGGTTACGTTGTTGTTGTTATTGTGACACTGAGCCGCCACAGAGGCGGATCGAAGTGCTCAAGCCAAAAGACCCTTTGAACACCCCATTTCCCGAGGTCACTCCTTTGAAGGTGGCCGTAAGGGTCGTCGAATATTTGCAGATCTGAGAATATGGTTCAAATCCGAATTGGCTACGGGACCGCCCCTCACTTCGAATCTGACTCGAACTTGATAATTCTTTAACATTCGAGAAATTACTTTTTCTTAGTTCCATACAAACTTTCAGCATTTGTATGAAGGCAATATATCTTGTGTGTTCATGATCATGATCCTTCACTTAGAAGTTAGGGCGTTGCATCATTATATTGTATAACCCTTTAGCAGCACATCCGGGAGCATCTCAATATAACACATCCAATGCACTATAACGAAAGCTAGTCCATGTAAATTACTAGCGCTCGAACTGTAGGGACGTTGAATGGCAATGAATGCATCTGAATGACGCCGGTCTGTGCTAAGGCAGGCCGTCCTTTACAATAGAAGCCTATGATAAATAATCACCCCTTGTATAATGCTTATTTTACATCTGATGCGTTATCGTGTCATCTATAGGGCAGACCCGGTAAATTGACCCTGAGTAGAAAAATGTAGGGTTCAAACCGTGTAAATTCTACTCGAATACCAAACATTGACTTGTAGGTTTTATTATACGTCAAAACCTGATAGACTTTGGTGGTGGAGTGGTTATCATGGTCGCTTCCCAAGCTTGACTATCGTCAACGTGCAAGCGATCGTCCCGGGTTCGAACCCCGGCCAAAGTACTTTTTGGGAAATTCGTTCATATGTGCTCCTGATTGGGACTCGGAACTGGTGAAACGAGATGTTTGGGTAAGGATCTACGGCTTCTACGCCCTTTCAGCATCAAAGACCCATTGGGATTCAAGGAAGAGCATGATAATTCACAGCAAATTTCAGCCCGCAAGTGCAGGTTGACATTGAAAGATCATGGTTCTCGAAGCCCATTCGCAGACGCTTCCATCCAACTCACCCTCAACTTTTCAACCACCTTGTCTAGAAGACTCGTAACTTGAGCAGGATCTTCACCCGTCCCTTCGAGGTAGTACTTGATCTAGGGATGACTGTTAACGAATGAATCGATCGTCATGATAGCAACGAACCTTTGGTTCCGTTCCGCTCGTTCTTTTTTTTTTTGGTAATCTAGTCAGAAAATGATCTTACGAATGCTCAAAGACTCGAACCTGATCGTTAGAGTTAATCCGATACCGTCTTGATTCGCCCGAAAGGTGATCATATGACCCAGAGAAAGAGGGAGCTCTGGCTCTAATGAAGGAATATTTGAGCTATCAAACCCGTAGCCATTGGTCAGATCTCTGACGGCAGTAATCGGGAGATCTCCCAGATTGGAAGGGTATGAAGCATTGGAGGACCGAATCGATCCTTCAGTTGCGGGCTGATAGAGGTCTCAGGAATGGATAGTCACTGAACATTGACTGAAGAACATACCCAGTTGCGCAGCCGATTGAAGATTTTATCAATGGTCGCGGGATCGTAGCAAATGAAGTAACTGTTGTTTGTCTTATTTCCCCTTAGTATCGCGACTGATGGTCCTAACGTTGTCGGCGTACCTTGTAATGACCATACCTTGACGGGACAGATGGGCTGCACTCAGGTACCAGGTGTACAAAAACAAAAATTGCACCTACCGGTCATACAGCTCTGTCAGATAAGAAGATACTGACTGGCCTTGAGCCCTCAGATATACCACTAATTCTGCAAATGCGACCTATTGACAAGAAGTCACTCCAACGTGAACGGAAATTATTGAGGCAAAGCCTACAGTCGCGTTTACTCCATCCTTATCTCTTATTTCATCGCCGATCATAAATCCAATTGCTTCCTCATATCCAAAGGGGACGCTGAAACCCTTGGCTTGCAAATCCAGTGCTGTATTACCGATATACTTGAAGCCTAACGAGGTGTTAGGAGTTGAGACTCGTGAACGAGCAAATGTCTCACCTGTCAATGACTCTGTAAACTTGAATCCTTCGCGCTTTGCCATCCCACCTATCATCTTGGAGCTCACCGTGGAAGCCACCATTGCCAGTTTTTCTAATTTTTTTATGTGGGCAATTTGAATAGATTTCATCGAAGGCACTCACCAATGGGCTCTCCGGATGCTTGGTACTTCAGCAGCGTCCATGCCGCAAGCAAAGTCCCGAGCTGATCACCAGAAAACTGAGTCCATGTTCCGTCAGACCTAAACACCATTAAGGATGAGCATCAAACAGTCTCAATGGTTGCACTTGCCCTCGTTCTGCAGCGGTGAACCGATCTGCATCTGGATCTTGAGCAAGCACGTAGTCGGCCTTGTGATTGCCGGCAGTCTCTAGAGCCAATTTCTAGCAGATCGTTGAGCAAAAAAGAGGCCATGACAATCAAGCAAGGAATACGCACTAATGCACCGTGTTCTTCCGGGTTTGGAAATGCGACTTTAATGCTTACCTTGAGTACACGTATATCCCAAAACGACTAAGAAACACACCAGTAGGGAAATCAGGATCGGGTTCCATCTGTGGTTCCACAGGAAGATAGGGCCTTAAACCATAGACCTCAAATGCTTTTGCTGCAAAACGATTCCCTACGCCGTGCATGGAGGTGTTGACAAAGGTTACGTCCGTGGTTACATTCAATTCCCTACAGAGAGTCAGATTAGGGAAAATGCTTTAAGGCAGAGGAGCACTTACCGGGTGTAAGAGAAACTCGCAAGGTGCGTGAGATACAATCTTATCATGTCCTCTGTTCTGTCAATGCAAAGCGGATTTTCCAGTAGCCCATCTGTCTTCCAAGCGTCCACTCCAGGTTCCAAGTTTTCCTTGATCGAGGATGCAATCCCCTTATCGTGTGGCTCAATAATTTGTACACCATTTCCCCAGTACACCTTTCACATTGGCTGACTCAGTCGAATATTGTTATTTAAGAATCTATTGTGTCATACCTTATAACCATTGTCGTTCTTAGGAACCGTATCAGCAGGTGAGAATGATTAGATTCAACTATTTAAAATACCAACCTTGGGATTGTGGGAAGCTGTGATCATGACCCCGCAAGCGGCTCCTAGTCGCTTTACGGAGAACGGTACACTGATTCGTGATCAGAAATGTTATCTCCAAAGGCTGAAAACGCTCACAGCGGTGTATGAACCAGTCCTCTATGAAGATACGCTTTCATTCCTCTGGCAACAAATGCAGTCGCAGTCAAAAGAGCCCATCTCTCTGAATGGTGCCTGTGATCATGCCCAATAACAACCCCCTTTTCTTTTGCATCTCCTACGTGTTGTAGTACATACGCGCAAAGGCCCTATCATGTTAAGTTAAAGGGATGCACTAATAATTAATCACCGGATTAGTCACAAACCTGAGAGGCCTGTATTACGGTCAGGTCATTCATGCGCGAGAACCCAGCTTCCATACGACCTCGTAATCCTTATTACTGCGTAAGGGATCTCTGCTGTGCAGTCCACCCCCCAGTACTCACCAGCTGTGCCGAACTCGATCCGTGTCCTAAATTCAAGGACTGGGTATGAGTTATCAACAGTGCTTCGAACCACTTACGCTAGTCGTTTACGCAGCTCAGTTTCATTACCATTTGTCGCAAGCTGTGCGATTTCATCTCGAGTAGTACGGTTCTTGAATCACAGGCAAGGATATGTCATCCAGCTAGTTACGCAACGCTGATCTTACCTGATCTAATCGTAGCCATTCTTGCACCAACGCTTGGGTAGACATCAGGAAATTCCTTAAGTGGTGAGACGTAATGTTGACTCGAATAGAGGAAATTCGACGTGGGTAAAATGCTTGTGACTGCAAACCATCAGGCGCTTAATCGGATCACAAGGGAATGTATTTCATTTATCCAAGCAGGAACTCAGCCCAAATCCAACCATATGATGCACTCGACCAAGTTAAGAAGACTTGGGAGCGGTCAAAATCTCTACACCCGTTTCAGTAATTCTGCATAAAATAGGTCAAATCAGCAATTATCAAGAAGGCGACAAGTGACACGAACAATAAAGTTTCCTCGAATTGAGCACTGCGGTTCCCGTCAGAGGTGGTGCAGGTCCAGTTATCTGGCCAATGATCGTCCGCGGCATAAGATGGACCAAGATTGATCATCTGAAAGGAAGGTGCAGTGAGCAAAAGCGATATTACCGCAAACAGCTCAACTCACTGGTTCGATAGTAAACGTCTAGCATAATTGATGTCAGATTACCTGTATAACACTAGAATTGTATAACTCTCACCATTCCGGGTTTCATTCGCCCCACAGCCTTATTTTTAGCATAATGCGGAATGTTGGGGGCACAGTGGAAGAGGTTATTGATGCCATGGCCTGTGTATGCGCGAACCACACTGCAGCCATTTGCGCGAGCTATAGGCTCACTGGTATTGATCAACTAAAAAAACAGGCGGAACGAAAGGGGTTGAAGAGACTTACATTGCTTTGCCGATGTCCCTGAATAAGGCATCAGGCTTGCAGATCTTTATTGCTTCATCCAAGCACTTCCTGGTAGTGTCTATGAGTTTTTGATCTTCTTCTGATATCTTGCCAACCGGATAAGTGGCATTGAGATCGCTGTGGAATCCATCATAATATACAGATACATCTATGGAAGCCAGTGCTCGCGTTAAAAATCGTTGATAAACCGGCCAACACCTGTCATACAAACCTAGGTTAACAATATCTCCTTCCTCCAGTTTTCGTGCATCGGGTATCCCGTGGCAGATTACTTCATTCACTGATGTGCAGTGGGATTTTGGGAATTTGCGGTAATTCAGAGGTGAGGGGTAAGCATTCCTTGCTATTGTGGCCTCATGTACGATAGCGTCTAGCTCGTCAGTAGTGACTCCTGGCTTGACATGAGATGCAGCGAGATCAAGAATCTCGCGACCAAACTGTGTAAGAGTTAGCAGAGAACGTTGTACATCAACCGTGTTACTCACCCTCGCTACGGTCCGCATTTTCTCAATTTCTCCGGCATTAAGAATGCGAGGCTCTTGTGCAGCTCTCGTACGCTCCGATTTAGGGTAGCCTACATCAATCAAGTTAAAGGTATACGATCCAGCCATTACTAGACACCCTACCTTCCGGATCATCTGCATAGTCAGGCCGGGCAATATGAGCTGGCACAAGTCGCTTAGGAGAAAGGGGATACACCGGTCGCAAAGCTCCCGTGAATTTAAACTTTGGAAACGGATTGAATGTGCCATCTGCGGCCAGCTCAGCTTGGTTCGTAATCTATTTCACTACTTCTGACTAACCTTTGTTGACAGAGGATCCTGTCGAGCCCGCCACAATATCATGTATCTTCTTATGATTTTTCTGAAGAGTCAATCAATGAGTGTCAGCTGGCAATGTGGGTATCGTAAATGGCAATCATCTGACCCCTGCCGCAGTAGTCAGTAACGTTGACATTTCGACTGGAGGCAATATTACATACAGCTAGCTTTGAAGCAATCTTGCGAACAAAAGAAAGACCCGGAAATCCCTAGCCTGATAGATTGCGGTGGCAAACGAGAGAACTAGAGTGGTGAGCTTGACATTTGGTCAGGTGTTTCGGCTAAGTTGATCGACTCACTTGGAACAGGTGGGACATTCAAGCTTTGAAGCGGGATTGCCGTTGGGACAGGTCGCGCTTTTACAAAGCTGTGTCAGATTGCCGTTGCTGGTATCGGTAGAAGACATAATGGCTGAGGTATTGGTCACCACTAGAATCGAACAATTTCAGGGTCAACCACCAAAA